ATGATTCATTGTTAAAATCTTTCTTGCTAAGATTCTAAAGTCCAAAATATATCTTATCATTTTTCCTTCCAGTTTTGTATATTATCTTTCAGACTCATTGTGATCAATTTCTGTTTGCTAGTTTCCTAGACTAATTAATGAAAAAAGGTTACCAGATTTCTGCCTAATCTTTTAAGCCCAATCTTTTGTGCTGAGGACATTTCTAATATAAATATATATGCCATGCTAAAAATCAGGATAGTTAGTGGGCATGGTCTTTGCTTTGTGTGGTGGTTGTTGTTTACAGATTCCAACAAGTAGGAGCATAAAAGGAATAGACTTGAATGTGTAACTCAAAATATGAACTTTTCCCTACATAATAAAGTGTAAACTCCATAGCATGGAATGCAAAATTGTGAGCAATTTGAACTTAACCTATCTTCCTATCTTCATCTCATTCCACTGCTTAGTATACCCTCTAGTCACCTCCAGACTACTTGCCAAGATCCAAATATGCCTTCTACTTATTTTTCTTCCTTCTCTGACTGGTGACCTGCTTAACGTCCTTCAAGACTCTCCAAAAAAGTCTGCATCTATCAACACTGTCCTTTGTGAAAGCTTCCCCAGTCCCTTAAAGTGTCACTTACTAATTTTTGATTCATAGCACTTTTTCTACAGTTCTACTATAACATTTATCATGTCATATCACAATTGGCAATGTGTAATTGTCTCACTGGGAAAACAATTTGGTTGGGGAAGGGAATAAATATGAGTTTCGTCCTATGCGTCTTTCTTTTCCCCTCTCCCCAAACCTAGATCCAGTGGCTGCCCTAGTGCCTGAAATATAGAACAAAGGGAAATGACCGCACAGTATCAATTCCTAGAATTTTCTCTGGTTGTCTTGCTTGGCACCCTTGCCTTAGAGTTGATCTAGAATATGTTAAAGGAAAAATACATAATTTCAAAGTTCATTCCCTGGTTCTTAGCCAGGAGTAGAGACCAAGAGTGGGTGGCTCTTTTCTTAGTAGAGTATATTAGTGAGTATTTGGATGTGTATTTCACAGGGAGATGTAGAGACATAAATGCTATGCATAAGAATATAAAAGCAATGTGTATTGTGGAGTATTGGCAAATAGAGAACAGAGGTGAGAAATCTGGGCAAAGTACAGGGATGGGAGGAGAGAATACTAGGTTTGAGCCAAAGAGAAGGGAACACAGCCAGTATGCAGATAATAGACAGAGGTACGAAGAACAACATCTGGGATCAGATGGCAGGGTGAGGCAGGCCACAGTGCAGACTCTAGGACAATGTAAGCTCCCTAGAAATCCACAGAAATGTTATGGAAACATTCTATAATACATGAGATGGATGGAGTCTTAAACTATCATACTTGGACATTAAATAAAGGGTGATCCGGAAAGTTGGAAGACTTAGCACCTCAAGATTTTCTCAAAACTATTGAGCTGGAGTTCCTGCTATGGCATGGTAGCATAAGCCCGCTACACCTCGTCCTTCACACTGACCGCAGCTAAAAGCTCTAGATATAAGACAAAAGTAACTACTTAAAGACTCTGGAAAAATAAAGGAAAATGGGCAGATTATGGAGGAATACCAAAACTTGGAAACGAAACCTATACAGGCAACTGAAACTAATAGAGACTCGATCTTTCTGGCCAGGCAGCAGACTCTACGGGTTGAAAGAGTGAGTGAAACATGGAGGAGAGAGAGCTGGAGGCGAAAATCTACTAATTGCATGTATGAATCCTCACAAGCATCAGATTTACCCCTGAGTTATGCCTGTGTGGGACAGAACCAAACCAGTGTAGCAAAGGCTTAGAGAACTGGACTGAGATTTGAACCACCACGTAAATCTTAGACTAACCCCTGAACTACATATTTGCAGGATAGACACAACTAGCAAAGCAAAAGCTTAGAGATTTAAACCACCACCCACAGAAGGCAACAGAACTTAAGGTCTGAACCTAACTGGATTGATTGCCTGCTAAAACAAACACACCAAGACTCTCTAGAGGATTATAACAGGACTCGGAGTCTACAGAGCTTAACATCACAATGTTTGGGACTCAATTCAAAATTACTCAGCTTATAAAAAGTTAGGAAAATGTGAAAAACTCTCAAGGGAAAAGATTATCAGCAGATGCCAACCCTGAGATCACACAGAATAATTATCCAACACAGATGTTAAAGCAGTTATTGTTACCATGATCCTGAGGTAAATAAAGTCACTTAAACTGAATGAAAAGATAAGAATTCTCAGCAGATAAATAGATCTTATAGCACAGACCCCAATGATAATGTGAGAAGTGAAAAATGTAATTATCTAAAGTTAAAAAACAAACAAACAAAACTTCACGGGGTGGACTAGACAGCAGACTGGAGAGGAAAGAACCAGTGAACCTGAAGACAGTCAATAGAAATCATCCAATACAAAGAACAGAGAGAAAAGACTGGAAATAAAAATTAACAGAGCCTCAGGGACCTGTAAGAAAATGTCAAAAGGCTTAACCTAGGAAAAATGAAGTATCAAGAGAGGAGAAAGAGATTGGGCAGAAAAAATATTTGAAGAAATAGTTGCCAAAAATTTCTCAAATTTGATGAAAGACATAAAGCTAAGTGAACACTAAACAGAATAAACTCAAAGAAAACCACACAGAGACATATTATAACCAAACTGCTGAACTGAAAGATAAATGACACAAATTTAAAATCGCTAGAAAAAATGATGCATTTTGTTATAAGCTGAATTGTGTTCCCCTAAAATTTATATGTTGAAGTTGTAACCCCCAGGACCTCAGAATGTCACTGTATTTGAAAATAAGTTCTTTAAAGAGATCATTAAGTTAACATGAGGTCACTAAGGTAGGCCTTAATCCAACATGACCGGTATCATGAGAAGAAGAACTGTAGATACAGATATGTGCAAACGATCTCAGAAAAAACCAGCCCTTCGGACACCTTGATCTCAGTCTCTAGCCTCCAGAGTCGTGAGAAAATAAATTACCTTGTTTAAGCCACCCAGGCTACAGTGCTTTATGATGGAAGCCCTAGCAAACTAATGCACATTTGCTCTATATATTCAACATATTTCCAACGGAAAACCCAACATGCTTTCTTTTTTCCGTAGAAGTTGACAAGGAGATTCTAAAATTTAAAGGAAAATGAAAAAGATCTAAAAAGGCCAAAAATAAAGGAAAAAATAAATAACAATGTTACAGGACCTAACTGACATTGAGATTTACTATAAAGTTATAATAATCAAGATTATAATATTGAAAACAAGATAACCAAATAAATCAATGAAACAGAATAGACATTGTCTAGAAAAAGACCCATACATATATAGTCAATTAATTTTTTTACAAAGATGGCAATTCAATAAATTGAAGAGAAAGGAAGGTCTTTTCAATAAATGATGTTGGATCAACTGGATATCCATAAGGAAAAAAAATAAACATTGATCCTTGCTTCATATCAATCATGAAATTTGAACTCGAAATAGATTATAGACTTAAATGGAAACTTAAACTATAAAATTCTAGAAAAAGACGTAGGAAAAAAATCTTTGCCACCTTGGGATAGGTGAAGATTTCTTAGAACTTAAAACTCAAAACATAAAAGAGAACAAATAATTGAACTTAATCAAAGCTTAAAACTTTTGCTCATTGAAAGACACCATTTGGAAAACAAAAAGTCAAACCATATACTGGGAGAAAATACAATGAGTGTATCACAAAAAGAAATTGGAACTGGAATATATAAAGAACTCTTAAATTTTAATAATAAAAGGGGAAATCTGATTTTTAAAAGTAGAGATTTGAACAGTCACCTTAGAAAAAGACTATATGTAACCAAAAAGTACATGAAAATAAGTGCAAAATTATTAATCAGGGAAATGCAAATTAAAACCACAATGAAATACCAATGGCTGAAATTAATTCTTAAAATTTAAACTTATACCTTCCACCAGTCCCAGTCATTACACTCCTAGCTATTTAACCAAAGGAAACAAACACATATGCCCATACAACACTCATACAGAAACGTTTTTAGCAGCTTTAGTTGTAATAGCCAAAAGATGAAATCAGTATAAATGTCCATGAGTAGAGGAATGGGTATACCCATTCTCTGGAACACTGCTTAGCAATAAAAAGGAATGAACTATTGATACATACAACAAGACAAAACTAAATCTCAAAATCTTTATGCTGAGTAAAAGAAGCTGAATTTTTAAAAAAAGAGGAGGGGGGCCAGCCCACTTGCATAGTGGTTAAGTTCAGCATGCTCCACCCCGGTAGCCCAGGTTCACAGGTTCAGATCACAGGTACAGACCCAGAACACTTGTCAGCCATGCTGTGGCAGCCAGCCACATACAAATTAGAGGAAGATTGGCACAGATGTTAGCTCAGGGATAATTTTCTTCAGCAAAAAAAAAAAAAGTAAATTTCATTTGTGTAAAATTCTAGAACAAACTAATTTATAAGTTCAGAAAACTGATTATCTGGAGAGGGAGGTGGGGTAGGGATGGATTGCAAAGGGACACAAGTAAACTTTTGGCTGTAATAAAACTGCTCATTATCTTGTGGCAATGATTGCTCGGATATACACACATACCTATACTTATGTACACAAATGCACGTGTACATACATATCTACAAATGTGTAAGTATATGAATTGATCAATTAGTATAATTTAAATATACAGTCAATTCTCGTTATTCATGGCAGTTACATTCTATAAAGTCATCACAAACACTGAGTTAGAGAATATGCAACTATTGCTCCTGGGGAAACCCAGAGTTAGCTTCCTGTGAGCCTCTGGTCACATTTTCTTCAACCAAAATGTCATTTGCTTTATAGAGCTTCCTCTGCCAATATCCTTGTAAAATAACCTCTCTCATCAGCACTGAAAACCTCTTCTTCCACAGAAGCCTCTTCCTATGTAACACTTAGCAGGTATTCTTTCTAATCCTTCCACAACTTCCTGATCCGCAGAACTTACCTCACACAGAAGTTTAACATTTTTCACGTGTTGAATAAATTTCTAGGCCCAAGATGGAACACTCCTTCCCCAGGCTGCCATATCAGAAAACTGAAACCTAAACAGCTTTTGCGTCCCTGTAAATGCTCCACTTGACCCTATGCAATATATCCAGGCAGCCAACCCCCAAACAGGAAGCCAACTCTGGGCTCTCTTCTTACTTCCTTGTTCCTTGATCTTTGTAAATAAGGTCAGATGTGCAACCCCAGCCAATCAACTTAAGCCGGTACTTCCTTGTTTCCCGCTTGCCTTTTTCTAAGAAAGCTTGCAGCCCTTTTCCCTTACTTTGCAGTTCTCTGAACTCTTGAGAGTGGAAACTGCTGCTTCATGAAATGTTAAATATAGTTTGTTTGTATCACCTAAATTGACTTCTTTAATCGTTTTAACACATAATATCACCATTTGAAACATGGAAGCCAGCCAGCACTAGCCAGGAAGGTTTAATATTTTCCTGACCTTGAGTAACAGAAATGTAAATTTCTTTAGCTTTCAGCTTCATGGTAATACTTTTTTTAACGAAGTATCATCCCATGAGCCCACAAATTTAGCCACTTTTCCCTATTTTCCCTAGCTTCTTGTATAGATGTTTCTCTAACACTCTGGAGCAGCCTCACACACAGATTGGCAAATTTCCTCTTCCTTTTCTGGGTACACCGTAGTGCTGATTCATTAACATTGAACTCAGAGCCAGAAGCACTAGCACTCACGCCCGAAGGAAGCTTGTCTAAACCACATATGTTCTCGGGTAGGCACATCACAGCCTTCTTATGCTTAGGAGCCCTAGGTGGCACTTCGGCACCAGGCTTGGGAAACCATTTTAAACAGCAAAATCATCCACAAAAAGCACAAATGTGCTGTTGAGTAGAAGGCCAAAAGGGCACCTGTTTACAATATGAGAGCTGAAACAAGAAGGCAGAGCAAAATTTTCAAGTTTTTCGCTCTTCTGTATGTCTGTGAATGAATACAAAAGCGCTGTGAGTATTGATTTGGGGGATACTAACAAATGTTATCAAGTAGCAAGTTCACAAATAAGGATCCGTAAATAAGAATCAACTGTATTTAGTTAGTTGTATTTCAATTATACTTCAATAAATTTGTTAGTCTATGTTCAAATAAGAGAATGAAGAGGGGGCCAGCCCCACAGCTGAGTGGTTAAGTCTGTCCTCTCTGCTTTGGAGGTCTGGGGTTCACCGTTTCAGATCCTGGGCTCGGACCTACACACCACTCATCAAGCTGTGCTACGGCAGCATCCCACATGCAAGAACCAGATGACTTACAACTGGGATATACAACTAGGTACTGGGGCCTTGGGGAGAAAAAAAAGAGGAAGATTGGCAACAGGTTTTAGCTCAGGCCAATCTTCCTCAGCAAAAAGCATACCTTCAAAAAAACAATTAATGAAGGAGCTTGAGGAACCCTCCAGAACAAAGCCTTCAGTTACAGAGGTGTACAACAGTTAGTCTGAGACTTGGGAAATAGGCAGCAATCTCTTCCCGTTTCTCCTGTGCCACCTGCAGAACAAAAACCACACCTGACAACTGAGTAGCACAGGCTGCCAGCCTGGTGACAGTGATACATTACTGTAGTCACATCCACACTTCAGAAACAGAGCATGTGGAAAAAATGGAGATGATAACAGACCATCCTCAAACATGGTTTATCCATGTGTGGCCCCTGCTCTGAAGAGCGAACCAGAACATTTTCTCCCTAGAGGCTTTTTACAGGTCTACTGACTCCCAAGTTTCCAACAGCCACTGTCACCTGAAAGAAGTTTGAACATTTTTCTGGTATAAAATGAGCCCATTGAGGGTGTCACTAGAATGGATCTTGTGCAGGCAATTTGCAGACTACAATTCACCCAGTTCTAAATCATGTTTCTTTCCAAGTTTGGTTAGCATACAAACCACCAAGTAACTTAAAAAAAAATTCTGGTTTCTCACCATAAGGCTTCTGGAAGAAAACGTAGGCAGTACACTCTTTGACATCAGTATTAAAAGGATCTTTTTGGACACCATGCCTTCTCAGAGAAGGGAAACAATAGAAAGACTCAACAATGGGACTTCATCAGATTAAAGAGCTTCTTCAAGGCAAATGAAAACAGGATTGAAACAAAAAAACAACCCACTAACTGGGAAAAAATATTTGCAAGTCATATATCTGACAAAGTCTTAATATCCTTAATATATAAAGAACTCTCACAACTCAACCACAAAACATCAAACAACCCAGTCAAAAAATGGGCTGGAGACATGAACAGACATTTCTCCAAAGAAGATATACTGATGGTCAATAGGCACATGAAAAGATGCTCATCATCGCTGATCATCAGGGAAATGCAAATCAAAACTACGCTAAGATATCACCTTACACCCGTTAGAATGACAAAAATATCTAAAACTAATAGTAACAAATGTTGGAGAGGTTGCGGAGAAAAAGGAACCCTCATACACTGCTGGTGGGAATGCAAACTGGTGCAGCCACTATGGAAAACAGTATGGAGATTCCTCAAAAAACTAAAAATAGAACTACCATACCATCCAGCCATCCCACTACTGGGTATCTATCCAGAGAGCTTGAAGTCAGCAATCCCAAAAGTCCTGTGCACCCCAATGTTTATTGCAGCACTGTTTACAATAGCCAAGACGTGGAAGCAACCTAAGTGTCCAGCAACAGACGAATGGATAAAGAAGATGTGGTACGTATATACAATGGAATACTACTCAGCTGCAAAACAGAACAAAATCATTCCATTTGCAATAACATGGATGGACCTTGAGAGAATTATGTTAAGTGAAATAAGCCAGCGAGAGAAAGATAATCTGTGTAAGACTCCACTCATATGAGGAATTTAAAACTATGGACCAAGAACAGTTTAGTGGATACTAGGGGAAAGGTGGGGTGGGGGGTGGGCACAAAGGGTGAAGTGGTGCACCTACAACATGACTGACAAACATTAATGTACAACTGAAATTTCACAAGATTGTAACCTATCAATAACTCAATAAAAAAAAAAATTCTGGTTTCTCCCTACAAACAACTAATCTTGCCATTTTTTCTTAAATGTGTCACTGGCCTTCTACTGTTGCTAAGCTACTCATTTTAACTTTCTTTCTCCATATTCTGTTTTAAATTATTCTTCATCACTCCTATTCATAGATCATATTCGTCTAAATGTAAACGCTTTTACTTGTGTTTCGTTGTTTTAATCTAATAATTGTTTTAGTTGTTCAGTTGTTTTAATATGTTCCAAACATTTCAACTTCAACTCTTGATTTGCAGTTCAAAAACATTGACTGTATGTCTCACAAATAAGCAAGATATTTAATACACTATTTTTTAAGTTGAATGTCTTGGGCTCTGTGCTGCTGTCTATGTGACAATTTTTTTCTCCCTTTCTGCCTCTCTGAGTGTCTGTATTTCTGTCCATTATTTCTCATTCCTATCTTCCTCTTTTTCTTTGATCACTGCCAGTCTGTGTCATTGTTCATCTTTGCAGGTCTTTAATCTTATCATATTTCAGTTTTTGTCCTTTCCTATTGCTGATTTCTTTTCTTTTCTCTTTTTTCATTCTGTTAGCATGGAGGACAATATAGTGCAGAGTTTAAGAGTTTGGTCTCTGTAGCCACACTCCTCAAATTTGAATACTGGCTTTGCTACTTATGAGCTATAATGGGTAAATTACCTAAACTTTCTGGGATTCGGTTTTCTCATCCATAAAATGGGAATAATAGTAATAGCATTCTCATACAGTTTTTAAAGTCACTTTAAAAGGTGCCTCTAGCATAGTGATCACTCTTACTGTTTGCTAAATAAATTAAATAGTATGTGTAGTTTATTACTAGAAATAATATACTGACATGGAGACAGTGATACTGATTTAAGTAGAATCAATGACAAGAAGAGGCTAAATGGGAGATCGAAAAGGAAAGATTTGGGGCAGGGCAATGTCAGGGACTTGGGGTGAAAACAGCTTTTACATATGACTGGAGCCTTATTGTCTTTCTGGTTATTGTCAATGCAGTGGGGAGTAAGGACAGTGATTCTCTTAAAAGAAGTGGGAAGAAACCAGGAAGCTTCCAAGAAGATTTAGGAGTGAGTGATTTGGGGGATCATGTGGGAGGAGGATGACAGGGATGGAAATAAGAAAGAGATGTGTTAAGGTAACAACTCACAGAAGGGTAGGATAAGGTTTTTAGGATAAGGTGAAAGGAAAGGGAGGGTGAAGTTAGTCTGGGTTCCATTGGGCCAAAAAATGGGAGCCTACTGGATAACATTTTGAATACAGCAGAGGCAGTGTCAGGCTCAGAACGAGAAAAAGGCAGTGATTCTAATGTGGTGTGTTTGCATATATTACAGATATGTGTACACATGTTACAGATGTACAGTGTGATTGAGGTGCCCCAAAAGACAGATGCGTACGTGTGTGAACCACTTTTCTCAGTGTATAGTATTTTTTAACAAAAAGAAGTAAAAGGCATCAAAAGAATAAATGTTGAGGAGCTGGCCTGTTGGCTTAGTGGTTAAGTTCACACACTGCTTCAGCGGCCCAGCGTTCACAGGTTCAGATCCTGGGTGCAGAGCTATACATTGCTCAGAAAAGAAATCTTCCACTTCATTCATCTACCTTAAAGAGTTCGATAATCTGTAAGCCTTGGTTACAAAACAATTGTGCTAGTTGACTATGCCTCTGGAGTCTTCTCACCGATGCACCCGAAGTGCCAGTATGAGCTCGTCTTTTAGTCTGAATGCTGAGTCACACCAAAAAGTAAGGTAATTGTCAATGAAAATAATCCATAACCAATCTATAAATGAAAATTTGGGAGAGTTTATTCTGAGCTGAAATCTGAGGACCATGGCCAGGGGCCTTTCTTCTCGAAGGAAGAAATGGCACCAAAGAAGTGAGGTATACAGAGTGGTTATATACGTCCATACAGGACGTTTCGCATATGATTGAAATGTCCCTCCCACAATAGTCACGAGATTGCCCTGTCAGCACAGCGCTTGATGGACACAGCAGGTAGTGGGTCTGCTATCTTGGCGGGCGTAGCAGGAGGCAAGTCTATTGTCTCTCGAGCTGGGTGGTCACAGGTGAGCTCAGCAATGGGTTCCTAGCCTAAGGAGAGATGCTT